GGTGTTCCAAGTGGAGAGCACAGCATGTGCAAAGGCTCAGAGGAAGGGGAGAACATGTTGGAAGAACTGAAAGAATCCTAAATTGTTGAGGCACAAAGGTGGAAGTCGTAGAAATGAAGCTGAAGCAGTAGGACCCAAGTTATGAAAGAGCCTAGAGGATGGGTTAAAAAGGATCTTGAATGTGTAACAGAAAGATGAAGACCAACTTTCCTGAAAGCTTTTGATTTGGGGTTTCTTTTGCTTGTTTGTTTTTTAAATGTTGCAGGATTTTTCAGTTTCTTCTGGTGGCATGGGGTAAGGAGGTTGGGACCCAGAGGCAGTATCTAGAAGAGACCCAGTTTTCTATAGCAGGTTCCCGCAAAAGGGCAGATAGTACCCAGGAAAAGAGAGGCAAAAAAGAGAGAAGGCGTAAGGACCACCGGTAGCAAATGTGACTTCTGACACTGTGATGTCCAGCAGGGAATTTTAATTTATCTTCTGTCTTACTCATAAAACTTCCGTGAGCTTTATTCACCAACATAGACCAGATATATGGCAGCTTGTGCTAGTCTATCTGTGAAGAACAAAGGGAGGTTTACGCCCACCTTTTGGCGGGAAACGGACAATGCAAGATCGAAAACACAGGAAGATGCAGAGAAGTGATCAAAGAGAAATCAAGGGTAAGTGTTTAAGAGAGAAGCAACAGGCAAAATCGAGAGTGCTCAGGAAGAGCCCTGGCCCATGTGGCTTTAGGTGTTACCCTGTGCACCTAAAGGCCACCGGTTCGATTCCCAGTCAGGGCACATGCCCAGGTTGCGGGTTCAATCCCCGGTTGGGGTGTGTGTGGGAGGCAGCCGATGGATGTTACGCTCTCACGTCGGTGCTTCTCTCTCTCTCCCTCTCCCTTCCTCTCTTTCGAAAATCAATAAAAACATTAAAAAAAAAAAAATACTCAGAAAGGTTTGAATTTCCTGTAGAAGCTTGAGATGGCGACACGGCTTATTATATTTGGATGCTAAAGGAAAGGATTACCTCCCAAAGTTAGGGGTCCTATGGCACTTCAGTTACACTGTGAAAATGACCCAAAAATCTGAAAGAGAGAAAGCTGCAGGGAGGCAGCAGTTCAGGTTCCACTTCTGATGAAACTTCTGAGTTTCTGGTGAGTTAAGAATGGGGAGGATGAAATAAGCCATCCCACATACTCTAAGAAAAGACTAAGAGCAATCATGACGATAATAACACAACTAACTGCCATTGAGCACTTACGTTGTGCCAAGCAGAGTTCAACGTACGTATTGTGTCAGAGGCGCATTTATTAACCAAAGGAGCAGAGAGTCTAAGAAACTTGTGCAAAGTCGTCAAGTGTGTAAACAACAGAGCTGACTGTTAGTTATGCCTTCAAATCCATTCTCCGCTCCTATAGTAACAGAGCTTGAATTAGGCATGTGGCTGTCCACCTGGAGGCATTTCCCATCCTCCTTTGCAGGCAGGTGTGCCTGTGCTAAAGAAAGAACACAGCAGGCCTAAGACTGCTATCCTAGGAAAGCCTGCGTCCGGGCATGTCCCTTGGCTGGCATCTGGGAACTTGAATGGTAAACAGTTCCCTATACCAACAGAGAACTTCCCCCAAATAACAACAGTGCCTAAAGTGTTTGTACAAACAATAGTGTTTATACGAACCACCTGCTTTCCTGCTGAGAATCTGAAATTTTGATACTTGAGAAGCAGAGGGCGCCCCAGTAAAAACTTTGGATACTGAATTGCTAATGAATTTCCCTGGTAGACACATGTTATCACAACTCATTGTTGCAGGAATTAAGTGTATCCTGTGTGATGCGAGAGGTCGCTTGGAAGCTCGTGCCTGATTTTCTCCAGAACTCAGCTAACTGGTCTTTCCCTTGGCTGAGTATGCTTTGTATCCTTTTGCTGTAATAAGTCATAGCCTGTGACTCATATACCCCAAGTCCTGTGAGCCCGCCTGGCAAATTACAGAAAATTTAGCCCCTGTGTTGGTCCCACACACACAGTGGCTAAGTTTTCACTAATGAGAAGTGAGTAGAATTGATGTAAATTTAATTTCACTTGCCCTAAAAGATATTACTTGCCTTCTATTTCCAGTCTTTCACCTTTCTATGAATGAGAATAAAAAACTGTTGGTGAATCAGCTTCAACCATGCAGAACAGAGCAATATCCATAGCTAGAACATCTAACATAGTACACCTTAGCTACT